ATTTTTAGTAGAGACGGGGTTTCACCATGTTGACCAGGATGGTCTCAATCTCTTGACCTCGTGATCCACCCACCTCGGCCTCCCAAAGTGCTGGGATTACAGGCGTGAGCCACCGCGCCCAGCCCTAGTTGTTAATTCTTAGGGAAGATGCTGAGTCTCAGTTTACACCCCCATAAAATGGAATCTCTCCCTACAGGATTGTGAAGAGGATTAGAAATAAGGGCGACAAAGCGAGACTCCATCTTAAAAAAAAAAAAAAGGTGTAAGGTATTTTGCATAGTAAAATGCTGGTAGCCAGTTAGTAATTGATAGTTGTAACTTATTATTTTTTGGAGACAGAATCTTGCCCTGTCACCCAGGCTGGAGTGCAGTGGCATGATCATAGCTCATGGCAGCCTCGAGCTTTTGGGCTCCAGCGATCCTTCCACCTCAGCCTCCTGAGTAGCTGGGAGTGTAGGCATGTACCACCACACCAGGCTGATTTTTATATTTTTTTGTAGAGATGGGGTTCCACCATGTTGCCCAGGCTGGTCTCTAACTTCTGGGTTCAAGCAATCTGCCTTACTTGGCCTCCTAAAGTGTATTAAATTTCTTAAAGGGTAGATAAATTCGGAAGTTTCAGTTGAGACCTAGTAAACTTAAAATTTCACTAACAATTTTATTTGCCAAGTTCATTAAATTTTGGGGGGAACCCCCCAAATATTGGTTAAGCTACTTAAAAAATAACAGAATGTTCTTATGCCCTTCACTTTCATCCATTCCAGGCGACAAGAAAAGTTTATTATCAGCGCCGGACGCGGTGACTCACCCCTGTAATCCCAGCACTTTGGGAGGCTGAGGTGGGTGGATCACTTGAGGTCAGGGGTTCAAGACCAGTCTGGCTAACAGGGTGAAACCCCATCTCTACTAAAAATACAAAAAAAATTAGCTGGGTGTGGTGGCACACACCTGTAATCCCAGCTACTAGGGAGGCTGAGGCAGGAGAAGTGCTTGAATGGAGGCAGAGATTGCAGTTAGCCGAGATTGTGCCACTGCACTTCAGCGTGGGTGACAGTGATGAGGCTCCGTCTCAGGGAAAAAAAAATTCCTATCAAGTCGTGTTTCCAGGCACAGACTCTGGGACCAGCCTCTCCAAGTTTGTATCTTAGCTCTGCCTCTTACCAACAGTGTGAACTTGGCCCAGTTATTTAACTTAACCTCTCTGGATTTCAGTGTGCTCGTCTATAACAAACACGGGGATAATAGTATTTGAAAAAGTTAAATAAGTTAATACACAGGTAAATTTTATAGTACAATACATTGCACATTGTAAGGCTAAATGTTCACTCTCATCATTGCTACCATATACTCCGTGTAGTCAGGCCATAGTTCTCATAAACAAGAGCTAGCAAAGGCCCTGGACAGGGCTCAGGGCCCAGGCCTATTCCTGCCTCCCAAGGTGGCTCCAGGTTCTCAGGGGACCTTGTTTCCCCTCCGCAGATCCCCTCTTCCTTCTTTACCCACTATACACTCCAGGCCACCAATACTCAACGAATGTTTGGTAGCAGCCCAGTGGTTTTCAGGAGGGAGAAATTCAAATTCAGAGGGGCTTGGGGACTAAGAGAAAACCCGCACTCTTCAGCTATTTCAGTCGGAGCCCATTCCCAGAGCCCTGCCTCCCCTCTCTACTGTACCTCTTCTTCCATGCTGCCGCCATCCTGAGTGATCTCCAAGAGCTGCCTCGGAGTAGACAGCAGAGGCCGGGTGGCAGTGCAGGGATGGGGCGTCTGAAGCCCCAGTTGTAATGACCTAGGTGCTAACAGCCCGCTGAGGTGGAGTGAGAGGGAAAACATGGGCTCTGCTTCCTCACCCCACATAGCTTCTGTTCCAAATAATTCAGCTCCAGTTTCCTCCCTGATGATGAGTTTTGGTGCTGACACCAAAAGTAAACACCACAGGCCTGGAACGATTCTGCCATGCCCAGCACTCAAGCTTCAAGGGCATTACTGAGCGGGGGAGACAGACTCTTGCTTGGGCCTGAGTGAGGCTCAGGGCAAGGAGCCCCTCTTCTTTGCCCTTCCGGTTCTCCTCAGCTCATTTGTTTGTGTTCGGATAATGCCAATAGTCACCAGTATCACCAGTGGGCCTTCTCAGATGCAAGATTTGAAGCCAAGAATTCTTAGACCAGTCTCCTGATTTCTGTGAGCACCAGATTCTTGTGTGCAGTTTAGATGATAAACTACTTAACGGAGGAGCTTTGAGGGGCTAGAACGCAGTAACAGAGCTCATTGTGCGCTAGCGCTGTCCTGACGGTGCCTCATCACCATGGACCGCCGTAGTCGGTTTATGTAAAGGTCTCCTCCTCTCTCCTTGTTTCTCATGGGCCACTACCACGCTCCATTCACCTGGCACATGACAGGCATTCGCGGAGTGAAATGCAGCTGACCCTCAGGTCAGGTCTGGTCCACAGATGGGTTTTATTTTGCCTGTAGAGTATGTAAATTTTTTATTTGTTGCAATCACATTTTGTACAAAACTCTGGATTCCCCAGATTCTCTGGAAAAATTTGAAGATGGGGCATAGGGTCCATCTTCCTGCATGGTGACAGTCAGCACCCAGCATCCACTATGCCTGTGTCCAT